TAAACTAATAATAATTCCAATTAATATGCTTCCAAAAGATAGGTTTCTACAAGGTAAGAACTCACATATACCCTACTTTAGGACAAAAAATTGAAAAATACGAAGGTGCTAGTCTGCTAGAGAAATAGAAAAATACCGCATTACTTCTCATTACTGCGTCAATTTTTTATTAAATAAAAGCATTTGTTCAAGTGTTGATTCTTAGCAAAACTCAACATTTTAAGCTTAGCTAGCCATAAACACAAGTTACATACTTTGTTACTAGTTATTAAAAGAAAACATTTCACACAGGTAACATACTGTATAACTTGTCAATTTTCACACAAGTAATATAGCGTATTACCCTTCCTTAACATCACATTTCATAGAATGAAAAGTAATGTGTTATTTTGTTCAATCACCACCATCCAAAGATTTAAAAACCACCATCTACCACTGCCATCATTGTTGAAATTTGGATGTGACCCGAATTCTATTTGTTGAAGTGTTTGAAGTATTGAACATTTCTAATTGAAGTACACGTCACGAAGAATTCAAATTTGGAATGATATTGGAGTTCTATATCAAGTTGAAGTTCTATTTTGGATGCCCGTTGGGAGTCGAAAGTTGGTATTGGACTTGAAGAAGAGTTCGGAATGGCGAAGAACATCATTGGAGGCATTCTGGAAATTTTTGGGCTGTAACGCAGCGCTTAGGCACTAGGGTCACAGCGTCTAGGCACTGGCTTGCTGTTTTTCAACAGCTAGGTGCCCACCCTCGGGCGCCCAGGCGCCAGGGGTATAGCGCCTAGGCGACACCTATAACAATCGGGTTTTCCCCTTTTTTCTCTCCTATTTCGTTTTGGACTTGATTATTTTGGCATTCTACTACATCAACAACTCTACCAGAGGGTTTGGACGTCCCCTACATGTTCCTTATAAATGCTAGGATCTTCTATACAATTTTATAATGTGAGATATATGATTACTAGAATTATAGGATCCATTGTAATTTTCTCTCTTCTCCATTATTATTGAGTCAATAAAATCTCTTAATTCCTCTGTCATATTCTTGTCTTCTTTTATTCTTTTGTTATTGATCTAATACTTCATTATTTGACATACATCTTCAACAATTCATTCCAGTGTTTGGGTTTCAACAAGTGGTATTAAATAATACATAATTCTTGTATTTCCAACGTTACCATCAGCGATCCGGGCACATTATATTTCTTCTAACAAGAGATATTTTAGTTGTTTCACAACAATCATCATCAGAAACAATTGGAAAACCGACTCCGCAAAAATCAATCACCACAATTTTCGTTATTTCCAGAAAATGAAATTTTCTAGAAAAGTAATTTGGTAATGAATCTGTCAGCTTGCAATGGGTCAAGGCCACCACCATCTTCCTGCTGAAACAGTATATGGATTAGATTTTTCGTAGTTGGAAAAATTTTGTTGTAAACATCCCTTCAAAATAGTGTGTTCATGTTAAGGCCTCCTTTTAGTATAGATAGGACAACTCCTAACTGTCCCAGGGTGGAGCTTGCTGTACAGCTTCTTTGTATGATCCTCGAACATTTTTATAGAATTGCTAGGGCTTTTCATAAATTTAAAGATGACCTGGATTTTAGTTCGGTTATATATTCCATTGAATTAAAGTTTAGAAAATATTGGGAAGACTTGCCTATGTTATTTCCATTAGCATACGTCATGGACCCCCGATATAATTTATCGGATACTAAATTTGTAATCGATCAAATTTCGCAAGCTTTAACTTTCAATGTACCTGTCACTTATAGAAATTTGGAACAAACTTTATGTGGAATGTATGATTTATATGCTCAACGAATGGGTACTCATATTAATCGGGCACCCTCCGGCTCTACAACTACTCCTCGCACTGATATAGCAGATGACGACGCTGAAGTTTTAAATTTATTTGAAGGTATGAACTCATATAGATATGATTCAACTGCATTTGCATGTGGTTCCTCTAGTAGAAGTAGTAGTTTGTCTTCCACTGCATATACTCAAACATCGAGTAGTGATCCAAATGCGTTGCCTACTGAATTAATTGATTACTTTAATCATACTACGCCTAGTAACAAAACAATTAGGAAAAGTTCAGAAGACGTAATTGAATTTTGGCACAGGTATGAACGCTGATGGCCAGTAGTTTCTGCAATGGCAAAAGATCTACGGGAAGGGGAGAGAATGTAGTTTACGGGAGTGTAAAGTGGTGGCAGGGCTGTGAAGTAGATGATGGTTTTCATTACATGAAAATTACAAAACGGTCACTAATTTTAAAACTTTCAGAAACGGTCACTCAACTTTCACGCGGCTTCAAAAATGGTCACTGAAGTTATTTTTAGGACTTTTATGTTTTAATTGAAACCTAAAGCACCAAAACACGGTCATTTAAAATATGGAGGACCTCAACTTCAAAATTCATTTAAAATCCACCACCAGCTCCAGCCATGGGACGACTTTGCACCACCACCATCAACCACCTCCTCTACCATCCCTCTCCTTCATATTCCAAGCCCTTTTTAGAGCACACACTGCGCGAGCATTCCAACGAAAAGGTGAATATGTATATAAACAGTAAAATTAAATCAATTTTAATTCTATCCGCCATCAATGCATCGACCAAATTCTCTCAACCCTACAAATGAAATAGGTCATCCTATCAAGATTTTACAGTACTGAACATGGAGAAAATCTTGATTCTAGCATTTTTTTTGTTCCGAATAATTGTTATTGAGGCAGCAATCGGTGTAGGTGGTGCCATTGGGGTTGGAGTTGGCGACAGCGTTGGCGGCGTTTGGGTGGGTGGAGGTATCAACAACGGTCCAAATACTCCATCAGTCGGCGCTCCACAGGTGTCGAAACTCAATGCGGCGTACAATGCTCTTCAGGCCTGGAAATCTGCAATTACTGATGATCCAAATGGGATTTTGAAGACATGGGTCGGCTTGAATGTGTGTGTGCTTATGAAGGGATTTTTTGTGCAGATTCTCAAGATTATATGGGAAGTTCAACTGGCCTAGTTGTGGCAGCCATAGATCTGAACCATGCTAATCTTCAAGGAGTTCTTGTTAAACAACTCTCTGCACTTACAGATTTGTCTCTTATTCATCTCAACAGTAACAAATTTGTCCCTGAATCTTCAAGGAGTTCTTGTTAAACCTTTTCCGTTTCTTGGTGGGGCTGTTTTTGGGGCGAAATTCGGGCCAAATCCGTCGGAGTTAGGGGCGATTCTTCAAGGAGAGGGATGGTAGAGGAGGTGGTTGATGATGGTGGTGGTGTAGAGGGGTGGGGCTTTGCCGCTTGGCGTAGAACGATGGTGCAAAGTCGTCCCATGGGTGGAGCTGGAGGTGGATTTTAAATGAATTTGGAAGTTGAGGTGCTCAATCTTTTAAGTGACCGTGTTTTGGTGCTTTTGGTTTCAATTAAAACATAAAAGTCCTAAAAATAATTTCAGTGACCATTTCTGAAACCACGTGAAAGTTGAGTGATCGTTGCTGAAAGTTTTAAATTTCAGTGACCGTTTTATAATTTTCATGTAACTTCAGTGACCGTTTGTGAAATTAACCCATATATATATATATTAGAGACAAAAGTACGAAAAAATGAAAGGTTGAAGACAACAACGTCTAGAAATAAATATTAGAGACAAAAGTACAAAAGGGATCAAAAGTTGAGGATAACAGATGCAATTGTCCCTCATAATTAATTATAGAAGCATATGAAGCCGAGGAGAACATAGACCGCTTAGCTTTACTAGGCATGGGACCATAAAATTCTTGATTGGTCGAATGACTAAAGGCAGGGAAACAATGTAGAGGGGAATTTTTTATGTCAAATTTGCCATAAATGCAAGGACGACATAGACCGCTTAGCTTTACTAGGCACTAGATCATAAACTTCTTGATCGGCCTAACCATTCTTTTATTATTATTATTATTATTATTATTATTATATACTAATTCACCGAATTTTTTCATAGCTAAAATATGCCAATTTCTAATTTTATATCTTTATATTAATCAATAACATTAAACAAATGGAAATCTAAAAGAATAATATTTACAAATATTTTACAAATAATAATTTCGATGCAAGAAATGAGTTTATTTTTGCTATAGACATTGTATTGTCTACGCCCAGTCACATTAAGCCCATGTTTGACAACCATGCTCTTGGAAAAAGAGTTTTGAATAGTGATTTTTAGGAGAATGTGTGGCTAAAAAGAATAATGATTTTTAGGAGAATGTTTGACGATTTTCGATGCTGGTTATTCAAATGTAGAACGTATCCCATAGGCAATACTCGAAATTCAGAAGAACTGCGTAGGGGGCCATTGAACGGCTAGAAAAAGCCCACAACAAGGTTCAAGTCTACGGATCTATTATAGTATTTTCCAAGAGGTTCTTTAAAAGTGATGTACTCTCTATTTTAAATAGTTAACCCTTGAAATTATGCTCCAAGAGACTCTTTAAATTAACATTTTATAATAGAGAATGGATTTAGCTTTTCAAATTTAGAAAGCCAAATTCAATCTCTAAAATTAATCCAATCAAATAATATATACAATAAAATAGAGAAAAAAAATAATATTATGATTTGGAGGGAAGTTAGTGAAAATAAAATATAGGAAAAATAATAAATACATATTGTGAATAGTAAAATTAGGTATTAAAGATAAAGAGGCTGTTGCAACATTTAATTTTTTTTTTTTTTTTTGGTACCCGATAAATTTCAAAATATGCTGTTTAAATGCATTGGGTGCATACATGAGCACATTTCCACTTNAAAGAGGATGTTGCAACATTTAATTTTTTTTTTTTTTTTTTTTTTTTTGGTACCCTCTAAATTTCAAAATATGCTCTTTAAATGCATTGGGTGCATACATGAGCACATTTCCACTTGACACGTTTATATCGTAATGATAAACAACTTGTCTCATCTTGACTCTTTCGCTCATTGCATAAAATTTTCCATTGCTACTTCATGTAAAAGTCCAAACCGTTTCTCAATTCCAATATGGCTGATCATACTCTTTGTCGCCTATAAACCTAAATCATGGATCTGCCTCACCTTTTAACTTTCAGGACATGATGCTGACTTTAACAAAGTATTAGACAGATTTCAAACCTTGTCGAGGGTTTAATTAATCTAGATAGGTGGCGTCTTCCTCATTTGAGAGTTCGGAGAATTAGTCGCATAGCTTACTTTTTAGTTTCCGTATTCATTTGCAAATTGCAATTTCTGGTAAACTTCCATACCTTGGTGGCTAGTGCTCACGTATGTTTATACTTGGCATGCAATCCTAAGCATACGCAATGCATGATTAGAGTGGCTTGAAAATTTTCGTGATGAATAAAACTATGCTACACGTACAGGGTTTCTTTTTACAGATACATAGTTATCATTTTTTCATTGGCAGTTAGCAATAATAATAATAATAATAATAATAAAGCTACCAATCAGGTGCTGCCAACCGTAAAGTTTCTGTGAAGAAAACAGGCTCTTTCCGATGAAAAATTAAGAGTAATACTATTTATCTCTAATGAGAAGATCACGAGTCTTGGCATGTGATGTGTTATGAAATGATAAAACTAACTAAATATATGAATAATGCACGGACGGTGATAATGAAATGAATATAAATTAATCGGGAGAAAGCTACAAATTTATTGTCTGTTTGACTTTAAATGTCTAAAAGTTTAAACGAGGGTCATCTATTCCTCTCCACACAAAAATAAAAATCAACCGTAAATAGGCTTCAAACTTCCTATAAATTGGGTGCACTTGGAGCCCTTAATTTGCAAGTCTCTCAGCATCTAATCAGCAAGAAATTCCATCAAAATGGCCACCAAAACTCATCTCTTATTTTTTTTCTTCTCTTTTGCTTTAATGGCACTTTCAATTGCAGATGCCACCATCCTCCCCGACCCTATCATTGGGCCCGTTACAGTAATTATCAATGGAACACTATACTGCACTGTCAATGGTGGCCTTGGTGTGAATGGCTCTGCGACGCCCGCTTTCACTGGTAAGTTATACAAATATAATTACACTATTCGAATGTAACACTACTATATAGTTATTCTCTCAACTGCAAATCTACTTAATACTCCAAAGATATATAAATGATTTTTAGAGAGCCGTTCTCCATGTCATATAGACGGAGAGATGTTAGATCACCTATTAATTATTAAGACTTGGGGTTCCATCTTAAAAGATCAACCTTGTTGAGAAAAGTAGCACAATCCCTTATAAGTTGGTCTATGTTTATTTTCATCTTTATTCGATGTGAGATTTTATCCCTTAACATGTCGCGCAAGATGATGGCTCATTTGAGCACACCAATTTTGAAATCCGTGTGCTCGTTTTTTAGTCTTAATCCGATCGAATTGCTCGTTTGAGCTTAATGGACTCTAATACCATATTAAGACTTGAGGTTTCATCTTAAAAGATCAACCTTGTTAAGAGGAGTAGCACAATCCCTTATAAGTTAGTTTATGTTTTCTTCTTTATTCGATATGGAATTTTATCACTTAACAGTAATGCTCTTATTTTTCACTCTGAAAACATGCGATGAGGAGTAAATGTAATTCTCACATTTCAGGTGATCAAACTGTTTAGGAATTTGACATTCGCAATTTCGGTTTGTATTATCATNGCTCTGTTTTTAGTCTTAATCCGATCGAATTGCTCGTTTGAGCTTAAGGGACTCTAATACCATATTAAGACTTGAGGTTTCATCTTAAAGGATCAACCTTGTTAAGAGGAGTAGCACAATCCCTTATAAGTTAGTTTATGTTTTCTTCTTTATTCGATATGGAATTTTATCACTTAACAGTAATGCTCTTATTTTTCACTTTGAAAACATGCGATGAGGAGTCAATGTAATTCTCACATTTCAGGTGATCAAACTGTTTAGGAATTTGACACTCGCAATTTCGGTTTGTATTATCATAAAAATATAAAAGCTAAAAAAATTAAAAAAAAAAGGAAGAAGAAGAAGAAGAAAAAGAGAAGGGTTAGTGAAAATAGTGTGTGATTTTTATCTTGTAAACTTATTTTCATCATAGTAAACTAGTCGGCAATAAATAAGAACACAATCTCACATTGAAGCGAACCTATATAAATCTTGCGCATTCTTATGTATCTGTATTCTCTATGCTATTTTATTGCTCTCGACGGTGTGGAATTATGGTTTTTAATTCTCAACACAAACCACAATAGTGTTAGGATTCAATTCATAACAGAAGAAGCACCATTTTACTGACTGGTGTATTTACATTGAAAGATAAATACATGCATTTTCTACATGTATACAGATGCTTTGGTGCAGTTGCGATGCCGTGAGAGAACCGTCGTCGTGGCTAGTGCAATTACAAATTCTACCGGAATGTTTGCTATCAACTTCAGACCTTCCCCGCTTATTTTCGTCGGTCTAATCGGCGGCAGTTGCCAACTACGTGTTGCAACACCTCTCGTCAGATGTAATTCAACCCTTCCATCAGACAGATTTCTAGTTTCGACAGGCTTGCGTTCACGTGGAACTGCTTTCAGTGGAACTTCAATCACTGTGAATATAGTACCTGATGGTTTCACACTCAGTGCTCAGAATTAGAGCATCAGATGGTTAAAAGGACAACGGACTCAATGAATAAGGATGATTTCCACCTTTTATAATTTCTCTTTTACTTCGTGGAGTAAAACAGATTATATGTTTATATATCCACTAGAATAAATGTGAGTCTGTTATTCTAAAATGTCGAAATAAGTTTCAAACATCCGTTGTACTATATCCCAGTTTAATGGGTATGATCAAGTCTCGTTTTAGAAACTCTTTACTTTTTATTTACTTCAATATTTTCTTTTAAATATCTTTGTTGCATTCCAAAACCTATCGACCAATTAAGGGACATTAATTCTAGACTAATAACGACTGGAGTGCACTGGATGATCTCAGATGAGTATATGAAAACAGAAAATGGACAAAAACAACACTCCCGTCGTCTAATAACTCTCAACTCCCAAAGAAAATTTGGTTGTAAAATATAGTTAAACTAATAATAATTCCAATTAATATGCTTCCAAAAGATAGGTTTGTACAAGGTAAGAACTCACAAATACCCTACTATAGGACAAAAAATTGAATAATACGAAGGTGCTAGTCTGCTAGAGAAATAGAAAAATACCGCATAACTTCTCATTACTGCGTCAATTTTTTAA